TCAATTCCACCGAAAAAGATTTACGCACCGACCTACCTTGGCGGCCAGATATTAAATCCACCAGAGATCACAATGGAGATAATTATTCTTTGGAGCCTCACCTTCCCAATTCTACAGAAGAGTTTGAAAACACGGTTCTAAAGTTGTGAAAATGCAATCCCAGAGATTCAAAAGAAGTCCTCGGTACAGGAGGCACCTTGATGGGGGACTACAGGTAGGCCTGGTCTTCCAACTGTTCATTTATAGTGACTGTTCACAGTTATGGCAACTCTATAAAAAGTCACTTATGACTGTTTTCCACACTTATGACCGTCTCAGCATCCCCATGGTCATGTGATCAAAATTTGGACGCTTGGCAACTGACTCATATTTATGGCGGTTGCAGTGTCCCAAAGTCATTGTCTCCTCCTCCTCCTCCTCCTCCTCTTCCTCCTCCTCCTCCTCCTCTTCTTCCTCCTTCTTCTCCTCCTCCTCCTCCTCCTCCTCCTCCTCTTCTTCTTCCTCCTCCTCCTCCTCTTCTTCCTCCTTCTCCTCCTCCTCCTCCTCCTCCTCCTCCTCTTCCTCCTCCTCCTCCTCGTCTCCACAAACCCCACTCCCTTCCAGCACTGATAATATTACCTAGTTGGGTAATGAAACATCTTCAAGAAAGCAACAACGGTCAGAGAGCACCAAGGACCTATAGTCCTCCTCCTCCTCCTCCCTGCAAGCCCCACTCTCTTCCAACACTGATGATGTTACCTAGTTGGGTCATGAAATGTCTTCAAGAAAACGACCAGCTCAGAGAATACTAAGGATCCCACAATTCTGGTCCTCGTCGTACCTCCCCACTAATCAATTGCCCTACTCAAGGAACGCAACGTATCTCATCCATCTTCCAGATGTTCTATTCCATCCTAAATTTTTTTGGGGGGTTATTCCCTTCCCATCAGGGATGCGGTGGTTCAGTGGCTAAGACGCTGAGCTTGTTGATCGAAAGGTCGACAGTTCAGAGGTTCAAATCCCTAGTGCCGCGTAACGGGGTGAGCTCCCGTGACTTGTCCCAGCTTCTGCCAACCTAGCAGTTCGAAAGCACGTAAAAAAATGCAAGTAGAAAAATAGGGACCACCTTTGGTGGGAAGGGAACAGCGTTCCGTGCGCCTTTGGCGTTGAGTCATGCTGGCCACATGACCACGGAGACGTCTTTGGACAGCGCTGGCTCTTTGGCTTTGAAACGGAGATGAGCACCACCCCCTAGAGTCGGGAACAACTAGCACATATGTGCGAGGGGAACCTTTACCTTTACCTTCACCTATTCCGTCCCCTCCCACAGCGCTTTAAGGCAATTACAGCTCGTCCACACAGGTAAGAACGACACGCCTTCTTCATATTGCAACAGCCTCAGTTTCATTCGCGAGAAGATGCTTGGGAAGAGTACGCTGGGAAGTTTCTACGAGGATTGTGAAACTGACTAAAAGCAAAGGACTGGCCAACCAGATATTAATTACTGTGTACCTGGCAAATAGATGAGAAGAGCATGCAAGCAATTTGCTAAGAATACAGGGGTGTGGGCCCTTTGATCTCTGCTTCCCTCAAGGGATTGAGGTTTAGGAAGAAATATATTATATAAAAGAACCTCTTTTCTCTCCTGAAGTTAAAGCATCTTGGCCTGGGGCCCTCATTCAAAGCTAGCAACCATTAGAACCATTTCCCTACTGGTTCTGTGGGCGTGGCTTGGTGGGCGTGGCAGGGGAAGGCTACTGCAAAATCCCCATTCCCTCCCCAATCCTGGGGGAAGGATACTGCAAAATCTCCATTCCCTCCCCACTCTGGGGCCAGCCGGAGGTAGTATTTGCTGGTCATCTGAACTACTCAAAATTTCCACTACCGGTTCGCCAGAACCTGCTGGATTTTACCCCTGAGAGCAGGCCTCCCTGAAGTCTCCTGTGACCAAAAACAGGCCGTGGGGTGGGGGGGGTGCGGTGCCCCCCCCATGGCCCCTTTTTGGTCCCAGGAGGCTTCAGGGAGCTTGTCAGGCCCAAAATGGGCCACAGGGGGGGGGAGCGGGAGCGGTGCGCCTCCCCTGCAGCCCATTTTTGGTCCCAGGAGGCTTCAGAGAGGCCTACTAGGCCCAAAATGGGCCGTGGGGGATTGCGCGCACATGTGCGGGGGGCGGGGCGAGCATGGGGAGGGGTCGCGCGTCCATGCCCAGGGGGCATGGCACACGGGGGGCATTGCATCATGATTGTGGGCACGTGCATGCCCCTTGCTTTTGGCACGCGACGGCAAACAGGTTCACCATCACTGCCCTACACCATTCCGGAGAAATGGCTGTCCAATCTCTGCCGTGATGGAGCACCCTCAACTTCGGGAGAGAAGCCGTTCCACTAATTATTCTTGGTGATCCATTGCTTTCCTTCGGTCACATCCTGAAGCGTGCAGAGCCCTAAGTATTCCTAAACACGGATGCCAAGTGTTTGTTGGCGCAGATGTTCCGCCGAATGGTAATGAGACATACTCCTGG